TACAATAAGCTTAGCCTATGCATGATCGGCTAAGTATTATAATTTATCTCTCCAATATACTCGACTTGTTATTTCGGACAATATTCATAAGCACTAATTGATAAAATTTGATTAAAAGAATAAGTCAACGACGCCGGAGACCGGCGTTGGCCATCGGTCAGAGGCGGTGGAAGAAAATCAGGAAAAAAAAAAAAGTCAACCCCGAAGACCGGCAATCAACAACAGTGAGGTCAAAATTAGAGTCAAAATTGAATAATTGATGAAAATTATATATTTGGTTTATTTGAGGTACCACCCTCACTAGCTTAAATAATGTGGTGGGTTGGTGGCTAGGGCTCGCACGACTGCTGCGATGGACGGCGAGTGCGACCATAAACTTATGGCCGCGCTTGCTTATGGGGCGTATGGCTCTAGGGTTTGGTTTTGGGTCGCGATCTAGGTTTTGTTGCATTAGAGTTTGGCGGTGAAAATAATTTGTAGTTGATGAAAATAATTTGTAGTTGATTATGCAATACACTACACAAGTTTTTATTGATAGTTAACTTTGGTTGTTTTGATAGTCGTTTTTTATAGTCGTTGTTATATAATAAAATATAGTTGATTATCTAATAACATTTGCACTTGATCGATTACTGTAATTTATGATTATTGTAATTTGTAGTTGTTTACGAGTGGTAAATCTGCCAGGAGAAAAAGACGAATTTATTAAAAAAAATGAATTTTATAAAAGGAAAAATTATTCAAAAGAAAAAAAGGTAGAAAATAGAATGATACATAGATAGTGATTAAGAAGGGAGGAGAATTGAAATAATATAAGGGTAAAATAGGATTATGAGAAAATAGGGGAGTCTTTTAATTTTAGGGCATATTACAAATAAGCCCATCAGTGGGAACTTATTCATAAAGAGATCCAGACAATATTCTCCTTTACCAATAAGTCCACACATGGTCCAGATTTATGTAAAGGACTAAAATAACCCCTCTTACTTTAATATGCTCCAATTTCATCCTTAACTTACTTTAACTTCAATTTGACCCCAACTTTCACAAATTATTCAATTTTGACCCAAAACTTTTTTTTTTTCACAAATTTTTTTTTTTTCAAAAACTTTTTTTTCCCGCCGGATTCCGGCGTTGACTTTTTAATTTTTTTTTTTTTTTTTTTTTTTTCCCTTCCGGATTTTTTTCCGGATTCCGGCGTTGACCGGCGGTCAACGCCGGTCTCCGGCGTTGACTTTTTAATTTTTTTTTTTTTTCCTTCCGGATTTTTTTTCCGGATTCCGGCGGTGACCGGCGGTCAACGCCGGTCTCCGGCGTTGACTTTTTAATTTTTTTTTTTTTTTTTCTTTTTTTTTTTTTCCGTTTAAACAGCAATATTGCTGTGAATGACAGTAATATTAACTATATTACTGTTAAACACAGTAAAATTAACTAAACTATAGTTTAACACATTGATATTGCTATATTAATCTCTAGCACATTAATATTAACACAACAAAATTCATTATTATTGTATAATAAAGTAATATTACTATGTTGTCCGTTCAACAAATGTAAACAAAATAAAAAAAACCAAAAGAATTAATATTACTGTGAGTGACAGTAATATTACTATAGCAACAATAATATTACAATAGTAGACAGTAATATTATTACGTTACTCCGTGAATAACTCGAACAAACAAAAAATCCAAACAAAATAATAATATTGATGTGGTTGACAGGAATATTACTATAACAACAGTAATATTACCGTCAACCACAGTAATATTATTGTGTTTACAGTAATATTACAATAATAGACAGTAATATTAATACGTTACTCCGTGAATAACTCAAACAAAACAAACACCCCAAAAAAATAATAATATTGATGTTGTTGACAGTAATATTATTGTGTTTACAGTTATTTTACTGTCAACGACAGTAATATAATTACGTTGACTTGTCAACAAATAAAAAAAAATAAAAAAAAATAATAATAAATAAAAAATATAATATTGCATTAATTTACTGTCAACGGCAGCACAATTACATAAATGTAATGTCAACGGCAGTACAATTACGTTAATTAACTATCATTGACAGTATAATTACGCTAAATTACTGTCAGTGACAGCACAATTACGGTCAACGTGTAGCGGCGGGCGTGGAAAAACAAAACAAACCAAACAAAAAAAAAAACTTAAAAAAACACTAAAGAAAGAGACCGCCGGAAACCGGCGAAAAAATCCGGAAGAAAAGAAAAGAAAAAAAAAAAGAAAAAAGCCAAAAAAAAAAAAAAAAAAAAAAAAGTCAACGCCGGAATCCGCAAAAAAAATCCGGAAGGAAAAAAAAAAAAAAAAAAAAAAAAAGTTTAAAAAGTCAACGCCGGAATCCGGCGGCAAAAAAAAGTTTTTGAAAAAAAAAATTTTTGGGTCAAAATTTAATAATTTGGGGTCAAATTGAGATTAAATTAAGTTAAGGATGAAATTGGAGCATATTAAATTATACTCCAAAAAAAAGTCAAAATTGAATTTTTGTGGTCAAAATTGAACTTTTATGGACAAAATTGATTAATTTGGATTACAATTAAGAATTTGGTATAAATGATTGAGGGTAATATTGGGATATACATGAATGTTTCCTTTAGTTATAATAAATATTAAAGGGATGGGCTTATTGGTGAAAGAGATATGTCCCCTATACCTAGAATAATAAACATGCTTGGTTGGGGACTTTTGCATAAAAATCCCTTAATTTTAAATGCAAATAACAAAGTGAGTCTAAGCTAGTTATATTTAAAAAAATGATGAGGGGATGTCCAGGTAGGGGTGCAAGTTGGAACGGATTTTCCAATTTCTGCCGGTTCCAATCCGAAAAGTTCCGATTTTGGAACAACTTTTTTCATTCTGACTTCCGAAATTTTCCGATTTTTTTGGATTGGAATTGGAATTATATAAAATAAATTTGGAATTTCTGATTTCCGATCCGATTTGATTCCGAAATTAATTCCGAAAAATTCCGATTTTTTTTTTTTTTAAATACACCTATAAATAGTATATATTATATAATACTTATTTTCCGAAAAATACACCTATAAGTTTTGTTTTAGGATTTTGACATAATGAACTGTTGTTAATTAGAAGTTTTATTGGATATTATGTTGTGTTCATTTTTATTTACTTTTTTGAACTGAAATTTAGTAGTTATTAGTTTTACTTTTATCGACGTGGATGCTCTTATTTTCGAAAAATTATTAACATTGTAGAAAATTTCGGCTAAGTTTTGAAATTTTAAAGCTTATGTGATTTTCGATTTTTTTCCGAAATTCCGAAATTTCCAGGCCTTTTGGAATTGGAATGAATTTTTAGATTCCGAAGATTTTGGAATTGGAATTGGAATTGATTTTGTACTTCCGAAACTTTTTGGAAATTTTCCGAAAAGGCTAATTCCGATCCGATCCATCCGACTTTCACCCCTATGTCCAGGGGTGGACTCAAGGTAGTCTTGGGGGGCCGCCACTACAGGAAAAAAAAATTTACTTGTTTTTTTATTATTTTTTTAATATTTTGTGTTATTTATCTATTAATTTATATACTTTAGCCCCTAAAGTTAAAATTTTATATTATTTTTGTCCAAAAAAATATCCGCGTCCGCTAAAGTTAAAATATTATACTATTTTCGTCCAACAAAATATTCTAGGCCCCAACCGAAAATTCCCTAGGTTCGCCTCTGGGAATGTAGCTAACAGGGCCGGTCCGGCGTATTCGGGGGCCCGGGGCGAGAATATATTTAGTGCCCTTAATGCCCCGACTATTTTTTTTTTTCCTTTTTTTTATGAAATAATATAGATAAATATTTATTAATTTAAATTTCATTATCAATAAAATATTGGAAACATTATCGTATCTAAATATTTTTTTTATAAAACAAATGTTAGAAATGTATGAAATAATTTTGTTTGATTAAAATAAAGATTTTTAAATTGTATATATTTTAAACTAAGCTTTAAAATTATAAATAAAATATTTTTTTTTAAACAATAGAAGAATAAACTTTTTTTATGCAATAGAAAATTTTTTTTTCACACATAAAAATTTAGTATATATATATAAAAAACAACTAAAAATGGGCCCCTTACAAAATTGGGCCCTGGGCGTGGGCCCTGCTCGCCCCACCCCAGGGCCGGGCCTGGTAGCTAATGGACCCAAATAGAACAGAAAATTTTCGTTGAAGTCATATGTGGGATAACCTATTTTCATATATATATATATATATATATATATATATATATATATATATATATATATATATATATATATATATATATATATATATATATATATATATATATATATATATATATATATATATATATATATATATATATATATATATATATATATATATATATATATATATATATATATATATATATATATATATATATTGTTTGTGATCCAAAAACAAATAAATATATTTTCCAATCAAAATTTAAGATCTTAAAGCTTTTTGAAATTAGATATCCAGAGCAACTCTAACGGTACGTAAACATATAAATTGACTTATCAAATGCTCATTTGATATTTGAATTAAATAGTATTTTAATACTGTTTAATTCATCATCTCCAATCATAATTATCAAATTAATTTGAAGTTTATGGTTACATTTTGTTTGTGATCTCCACATGTTAATTTGTGACTGAATCTTTAAATGGTTATTTTTTTAATAATTAATTTCTATAAAGTAATTTTACGTATATATAGTGGTGAAATATCAAAATACTCCCCCATTATAATACCCCGGTTGTAGAATATTTTTGTAATTTTGACTAATTACAAAGGTGGCTTATGTATTTGATTATCGATTTCATACTTTCGTTGGAGTTATTCACTAAACCCAAAGGGATATTGTTGACTTATGACAATATAAAGAATATATATAATTATATATAGTTGATCTTACACTTAATTAATAATCTGACGAGATCGAAATTAATAATTATGATTTAATAATATAAATTTGAATGCGACTTCAAATGAAGTCATAAATTTATTTCTGACAGTATAGTACTACACTACCCACATGGTACTAACAATTAAGAACCGAATAAAAGAATGAAACAATGAAAGAATCCCCATGAACAACGCCATTTTTTCACAATCACAAGCACGTGAAAAAAGAATTAAAAATTTATTAAATAAAAAGAAAAAGAAAATGAAAATGGGTGGATCCAATTAGATCGATCAGAATCTGGAGCGCTTGCATTCAGCTGGAATACCCTGAGGAAACCTGACGAAATCAGTGCAGTAATTATAGATCATATATTTCTGGTGGACCCATCTTAACCTGTTTCTGCCATTGGCATCAAGCTCTTGAGTTTGCCAACTCTGGTTACTAAAAGGATCCCCCGATCCCGATACGCATGTCCCGTTTGAAGATGACGACGACGCACATGCATTGATTTTGAAGTTTCTGTAATTGGCCACAAATGGACCTTGGGTCCAATTGGTTTTGACCTGCCCGCCTTGTGTTGCCCAATCATCTGCATTCCACAAGCTACCGTACACTCTCATTGGCTGGTTCGTCGGGAACGGGACTCCGAATGCTCCGTTGTTGTTGAAAACCCTAATCGGTATATTGTCCACCAAGAATCTGTAAATAGTGATAATAATTAATTTCCTTTTTTAGTTTAACAGAGTTTCCATGTTTAATATATAATTAATTAGTAAAAATATTAATATGATCATAAAATTAATCGTACATGATGCGCTGAGAGTTCCAGACGATTGAGTAGGTATGGAATGTTGCAACGGGATCGAACCAAAGTTTAAACTGTTGTTCTCTGTCTCCTTTGCCTTGAGCGTAGACGTTAGTATGAACTGTGTACGGCTCTCCTGAAGAGTTCCCCAAGAACTCGAAATCAATTTCATCGTGTGCCGATCCTTGAGAGGCTAGCTGTACGTTTTTAATTAAACAAGAAAATAATTAATATGCATGAATAATAATAATAATAATCATAACACATGTCATGTCATGTAAACAGTAAAACTTCAATAGATGCATGTCATGAGATGCAATATATATACATAATTGAAAATGCTTATAAAATATGGCAATATTAATTACTTACGAAGAATGTGGTGACAGTGCCAGCTGAGTTGTTTGGGATAAGTTTGAGTTGGATGTCAAATCTGCCGAATAAGAAATCATTCTTTGATTGGAAACCAGAACCAGAAGAATTATCGAGGGACAATGTTAATCCTCGTCCTGCTTCGATGATCTTGCCACGACCATCACCCCAGTTAATCTCCGCGTATTTCGTGAAATTTCCAAATGAAGGTTCGATCATCGAACACAATAATACTATTAGCACAAAGTTTGGTATGGATTCAGAAAAATGGGGCATTCTTTTCATTATTTAATTTTTGGAGCTTCAAGAAGAGGGATCAGAGATATTCAAAATAAAGGTGAACTAAGAAAGCTGAAATATGCCTTTCCAATTACATTCTTCCGAGCTAATTGCATCTACTACCCCTGTGAAAATCGCAACTGCGCGATTCCCCCCTATCATAAAAAAAATAGCAATTACCCCCCTATGTTTATTAGTCAAAGGCAAAAACCCCCTTGAGGGCACCTCGTGAGGCTCACTCGCTGCCTGTGCGAGTTTTTCTTTTCTTTTGCCTATGAAATGACTAAAATACCCAGGGTTTTTGCAATAAAAACATTGTTGTCCTTAAATAGATAGGTTTTAAAGTTAAGGGACAAAATTGAATTTTTTTAAAGAAATTGCAGAAACTTAAGGGGGGTTAAATTGCAAATTTTAAGAACTTAATTTAAATCCAATAAAAAAAAATATTAAAAAAATGTGTTATGTGGGTAAAGAACCGAAGATCTTCATCTTCGTAGTCACAGTTCTTGTTGTCACCGGTATTTGGGTTGCTCAGGAAACACGTTCATGACGAAGAACATAGAAGACAACGAGGAAAGAAGATTACATTATAATAATTAGGAACACTTGGGCTTGGATTGTTTAAAATTGATGTTCGAACCTTTCCAAAATGTGCGGAGAAAAGATCGGTAGTTTCCGAGCAAAATGTCGACGACTTTGAGGAAAATAACCCCTCTCACCCAAGTGTAAGTGAAGATGAATGCAAACACAGCATATGCATAGGCTAAGGAGAAAACCCCAACCAAGAAGAACAGAGCTTCAGGGTGCCCAATTCGAAGCCCTTAACCAAGAAATTCAAACCCACGACTGATTCATTGTCTTCTAAGCTGGTTTCTATCAATTTGATTTCGTCTTGTTCCGAGAGTGCGATATTCTCTTGTCGAATTCGGGCTTAAGACTGAAAACCCCGGGCTTCACAATTTTGGGGAAATCGAAATCGCAATTGGAATTGAAGTCTGAGAGAATTAGGAGAGTGACATTGGGGGTGAATTTTCGGGAGGAGGGATGGAAGAGGGAGCGGTCGAAATCGGAGCCTCCGGAGAAGAACTCGTCGTCGAGGGTTCCGAACGCGGGAGAGCTGGAGGAAGGGGCGGCGGCGGCGGTGGCGGTGGTGGTGGTGGTGATGGGGGTGGGTGAAGAGTTATGGTTTTGGGTGGGTGGGTGGATGGGGTGGGGTGCGGGGAAGATGAATACAGGTTAAAATATTCTTTATTTTTTTTTTTATATATTTAATTCAATAATATTTTTCTGTATTTTATTTATATAAAATTGAAATAGAATTAAAATTAAACACATTGAAAACAATTTCAACATGTAATATAACAAATCTCCTTGGGGTATTTTGGTCTTTTTACTGCTGGTCAAAGGGGAAAAGATAAATGGGTTGAGTATGCAGTCTAAATGTAAGCATAGGGGGGTATTTGCTTATTTTTTTATGACAGGGGGGAATCGCGCAGTTGCGATTTTCACAGGGGTAGTAAATGCAATTAACTCACATTCTTCCTCTTCTCTCTCTCTATTTATAATTGGGTTATTATATTGGTGTGTGTGTGTGGGGGGTTTGAGGGGTTGACCAAATTAAAGGAAACATCCCAGCCAGGTAGGATTTGCCGCGTAAGCATGAACTGTATGGCGTGGACTATGAGTTATTATTTTGTAATTTTGTAACAGAGAGCTGAATAATTTGACGCGTATTTAAGTTTGCATTCAAGAATTAAAAGCTGGTTCACCCAAAAATATTCATGAAATAATGAAAAAAATAAAAATAAAGCAAAACAAAAAATGCTGGCGAGGAAGGTATTTATTATTTAACTTCCAAGTCGTAAGGCTAGATGGAATATAAGAGTATAAAATATATTGGCAACGGAATATAATGCTGTTTCCAGTTTGTTTCATCTAAACATTATCACTTGAAGTTTATTTTCCTAATAATTTAAGGACTTATACGTCGGAACATCAAACTTTACTAATCTAAGTTCATGTGTTTGTTTGGAATAATTACAGTTTTGGTCCTCCAAGTTTGCACATTTTTCTCCTTTGGTTTCTCATTTACCGTCGTCTATAAAATACATACTAATGTTGTCACATATTAATACATTGAGTCCCTCTGCCTGTTTGACCCTCAACAAGTAACGATCAACCATTGAATTATGGCTGAATTTGAGATTTTTCATTGAGAAAATTACACTCAAACCCCTTCTTTCTTTTAAAATATTCTAAAAACCCCTAAAATTTTATTCAACCCTAATTTAACCCCAATTTCATTATTTAACCAATCTTGACAAACGACCCCGATTTTACCCCCATTTTTTTTAACTTCTTTTTTTCGGCATTGAATTTTTTTAATATTTTATTTGACGCCGTTCAACGAAATTGGACTGCCGGTTAACAATGTCGACTTTTTTTTCTTGATTTTTTTTTAACTTTTTGATGTGACTTTTTTTTCCGATCAACGCAGTATTATTGATGTATAACACAATAATAATACTATATTAATATATTGGATCGTAATATTAAAATTACAAACTTCTAATAAAGTTTTTATCTAAAATTTTGGGCCCCAAATATAATTTAAAAAATTCTAAAAATCCATAATTTCTTCCTCTCAAATTTTTCTTCCTGGAACCGCCATTGCATCCTAAATGTCTTCCCAAGAATATATGAATAAGATGAATTAAGCATCTGCAGAGTAATTTGGAAATGAGATAACTACTCTAGTACAACGGTTTTTGGGGCTAACACCAGCCGTTAATTTTTATCTTAAAAATTTTCCGTCGTTGAGATATGCGTTGACTTTTTCCTTTTTTTCTTTTATTTTGATTTTTTCTGATATTATTTTTGTCGCCGTTATCAACTTTGACTTTTTTAAAATTATACGTTTCCCACTACTCAACAATTTAAATAAAAATCAAGAAAAAAAAAAGTCAACGCATTAACCCGACATTCAACATCGGTCAACCGCGGCAAAAAAAAAATCAATCCAAAAAGGAGTCAACCGAGTTAAAAAGAAAGTCAAAGTCGGATTAACCGATTTTGAAAAATCAGGGTCATTGGTTAAAATTGGTCATTGATGAAATCGGGATAAAATTATGGTTGGATAACTTTTTAGGGGTTTTTAGAATATTTTGAAAGAATATAGGGGTCTTACTGAATTTTCTCAAAGAAATACCCCAAATTCAACCCTAATTCAACCGTTGACCTTTACATCATGACGGTCAAACAGACGGAGGGACTCAATATGTTAAAATGTGACAACATTAGCTTAGTGTGTATTTTGTTGACGGCGGTAAATGGGGGGCCAAAAGTGAAAAAGGGGCATACTTGGGCAGCCAAAAGTATAATTATCCCGTTTCTTTCTTTTCACCAATAAGTCCTCTCCTTCAACATATATTAGAACAAATTAGGCAAATTTAATACTTATGACAAAATTACTTATAATCCTTTAAATCCAATTCCTAAGTATAAAATCTAATTTAAGTCAAATTTCATCAATTTTGACCTTTTCTTTTTTTACTTTGTTTTGTCTAATTTCTTTTTTTACAGTCACTGATAGGCATTGACTTTTTTTTTTTCCTTTTTTCTTTTTTATAATTTATTTTTTGCCGCTGCGGACCTACGATCAGTACTGGTCTCCGACATTGATTTTTTTTTGATATTCTTTTTCCACTGCTGACCGGTGGTCAACAACATATATTATTCCGATTGACAGTAATATTACGTCAACCGAAATAATATTAATGTGTGAGAAATACTATATCTAAGGCAAAGGGTTTTAAACCCATTATATTCCTTGTAATTAATAACCTTTGAAGGTAATATAGAGCATCATATTAGTAGTTTTACATACTAAGAAGAGAAATACATTCTAAATTCTCTCCATATTCCTCTCTCAATTTCTCTTTGTTTTGTTGTTTAGTTAGTTTATTAACAAATTTCAGTATCAAATCTTCACTATATCAGGCCTTTTAGTATCAAAACCTTTAATTTACCTCCCCTCTAACATCAAACTGAACTTATAAAAACTGGATGTCGAGAAAACCGAATGCAGAAAATCATTTATTCTAATCATTATGTACTAGAATCCTTACAGTTAAAATTCAAATAAAAAGGTGAAATATTTCATCAATAATATTAAGAAAAAATAAATTACTAACTAGAAATGAATTATAGACGAACTTAGGATATTCTACTGAATAAGAAATTAATAATATTTTCTATTGAAATTATTAAAGAAAATTCAAATTAATGTATACTTATCATAAAATCGAGGAAGACACTTGTAATAGTAATACTCAATTTTGCTTTTTCTTCACTCGCATGACATTATAGTAACACTAACATTTAATTATGTTTAATTGGCAAGTAGAATTTTATATTAAAAGATCATTCTTTTGTGCCTTCCAAGTAACATAAAAATTAAGGGAAAATTAGTAGCATTTCGCATTTGGGAAAATCATGTGAGGTAGATCCCCTCCAAATAATAACTTAAGAAAATCCTTTGCTTTAGATATAGTATTTCTCACACATTTAAATTTCTCAATATACCTTCCAACCATAATTCTATTATTCTTTTTCTCTCTTCCCCCCCCCCCCCCCCTCCTTTTTTTTTCTCTTCTTCAATTTTTCGTCCAAATCCTTCTTCTCTCTCAATCCGGAGCAAGTGGTCGGAAAAAATATTGTCGACGCCCCCCTATGTTTCTATGCCCTCACGACAGTGCTCCAGCGAGCCTAGAACCACCGTGACGCGGCTGCTCGGAGCAAAAGCAACCCCTTCTCGCCATGAGAGTCGATCTATTATTGTCGTCGGTGAAGGTGATCAATCTCCATGGGGGTGAAAAATAGACAGTGTTTTGTGGTGACGGTGGTGGGGATGGTGATGGTGTAGCGTAGCGACGGTGTGGTGACGATGGGGAGGCAGATTTAGGATTTTTTGAGAAGGTCAGGCGGATGACGGTGCAGACGGAGAAAATTTGCGCAAACTGGACCCATAATCGACTATGTTCAGTAGTCGATTAAGGTTAATTGTTACGTTTTTTTATTCATTTTGAATTTTTTGTTATTGATTCTCTATTTTGCCACGTGTAGTCGGTCTTGGGGCATAGCGGTAGTGTGTTTTTGTTCTGTCATTGTCCATCCATCATCCGATTTGTATAAATCAATAAAAATTTTCTATATTTGTTGTTTTGAGAAAAATAGTTGATTTTCATTTTTTCTTTGTAGTTGTTTTTGTTATTTGTGTCCGTTAGTTATTGTTTGCTCTTTTGTAAAACGCGTGTTGAGTTTCATTGACGACATTACGATTGTCTTTGTTACTTTTAATAGTCAATCATTATTCAACAACGATTTTAGCAGTCAGTTTCATTAATCGACTGTGCCCTTAGTCGATTAATATCGTAGTCGATTAATATACCTGATAGAGAAAAAAAAAATAAAAAAATTAAAAAGAATTAATCTAAAAAAGTTAAAAACGAAAATTAATTAAAAAAAAAAGGAAAAAACAAAAATAGGGATGGGTGTAGTGGGGAAAAATAGTGAAATGTAATTTTCGGATTATTTAGGAATGGAAAGGAGCATAGATTTATAAAAATATGGGTTGGATCGGCCTCTATTAATGAAAGTTTTAAGGATTTTTATCAAATAGCCCCAATCATATAACCCTGATTCTTAGATAAATTTCCATCTGTATATATTTATGAACAATTACTGCTTGGTGCTTTTTTAAATAGTTGAACCATCTAATTTCTGAGCTAATTGCACAGAACCTCCTGTGTAATCTCGAATAGTCAAAAAAGTCCGCGTGTTACAAAAATTAGTAAATACCCCCTATGTTTTAATTGACAAAGAACATTGCCCTTTTTTCTGAAACTAGGAAGGTGGACGTGTGTTGCACGTCTTGTCTCAATTTACTCTGTTTGTTTTGGTTTGCTTTGGCATATTATTCAATCGAAATAATAATATATATTAAAATATCAAAGTTATTTGGAATATATTATTTAGATTCATGATTTACTTATATTTGTATTCATGATTCCGTTTAATTATTTTTTATTTTCTTTCATCTTGATTTTTTTTCTTCACATTGATCATCATTGGAAAATGTTATTTACCCATTCCTTCTTATATGTATTAGTTTTTGTTTGCAACTTCTTCTTGGAACATTATCATATTTTCTTGGATAGATAGATTATTATTGTCATTTCC